GGCCCACTCCCGACTGGCGTGCTGACCTGGGGGCCGTGGCTCTGTCCGGCCCACTCCCGACTGGCGTGCTGACCTGGGGGCCGTGGCTCTGTCCGACCCACCACCACATCCTGAGAGCCCAGGATGGGCCTGGCACACTAGATGCTGCCTAGTAACATCTGATGAGTGGGCGGATGAGGCAGGCTCTCACTCTGTGCTCTTTTGTGCCTTCTGGATTTTAGACCACGTTGGACATGTTAGACACAGGCATCTGCATTATAAACACGTGCTCCCAGCCATTGCAAAGCAAGTGCTATATCTGCCTGTTCAAGGTTGCTTTCCAAAGAAAGTCCTACAGACTTACTGCCAGATTTTTTTTTCTTTTCTTTTTGAGACAGAGTTTCACTCTTTTCGCCCATGCTGGCGTGCAATGATGCAATCTTGGCTCACGGCAACCTCTGCCTCCCAGGTTCAAGTGATTCTCCTGCCTCAACCTCCCGAGTAGCTGGGATTACAGGCTTGAGCCACCGCGCCCGGCCTATGATTTGCTTCTAAACAGTGGTGGGGAGTGGGGCCAGGAGGAGAGTACAGACCCAACAGGGTAGGGCAGGAGTTGACAATTATTATAACTAGGTCTTGGGTACCTGGGGGCTTATTATACTATCTTTTCTACTTATGCATATGCCCCCAATTTTTTTTTTGAGATGGAGTCTCACTCTTGTTGCCCAGGCTAGAGTGCAATGGGGTGATCTCAGCTCACGGCAACCTCCGCCTCCCAGGTTCAAGTGATTCTTCTGCCTCAGCCTCCCGAATAGCTGGGATTACTGGTGTGCGCCACCACATCCGGCTAATTTTTTTTGTATTTTTAGTAGAGACAGGTTTTCTTCATGTTTGTCAGGCTAGCCACGAACTCCCAACCTCTGGTCATCTGCCCGCCAAAGCCTCCCAAAGTCATGGGATTACAGGCATGAGCCACCATGCCCAGTCCTCACATTTTTATAATATTTAACAAGTTAAAAAGAGGATGAGGCAGTTTTTTCTAGACGCACGCTGACTATGCACAGAATTGTCCAGGAGGATGTGCAGGAGATGGGCAGTGGTGGCTGCTCCTGGGGAGGAGGCAGGGCACTGGGTGAGAAGGGGCCCCCAGTACTCCGTCCCTGCCTTAGTGTCCTCCCAGCCTAACCGACAAAGACAAGTCCCCCGACTGGCGTGCTGACCTGGGGGCCGTGGCTCTGTCCAGCCCATCCCCGACTGGCATGCTGACCTGGGGGCCGGTGGCTCTGTCTAGCCCACCCCCGACTGGCATGCTGACCTGGGGGCCGGTGGCTCTGTCTGGCCCACCCCCGACTGGCATGCTGACCTGGGGGCCGTGGCTCTGTCCGGCCCACCCCCGACT